CTTTCGACAACGAGTCTTTCGCTTTTTTCTCTTTCTTTCTTTCTTCTCCAACTTTTTTTTTTTTGTTAATATATATATTTTTTTTTTTTTGGCCGTAGCTGTTGCTGAAAATCGAAGGCCAATCGAGACCATTCGATGGGTGGCAATCAGTGTAGTCCTCTGAGTGCTATTCGGGATTGAATCCCTTAACTCGTTTTGCGTGTGCTCTCAATGCCATTAGCTCCGTTCATGGTGAGGGCACTGGGCGATGGGGTGGTGGAGTGGCTGTGTGACTGGGTGGTTGGTCAGCTAGCTGACCTCGAGCTGAATTCTACGCTAGGCTTTAACCACGCACTGGGCAACATTTTTTCGCAGGTGTCACGTTTTATTTTTAGCCCCAGCTAAAGGTACTCAATTGTTGGTTAAAATTCTGTGTGATATGCATGTTTATGAGCATGCAGAATGCCTAACATGCTTAAATATTAATGCCAGCAATTGCCATCAATTATTAAAGGACACTCACACAAACACACACTCGCGCTTGTATACATGCAGCTCCTGTGGTTACCAGTTGAATTTCTGAGTCTGGGGCATGTCAATTAACGTGCTCGCATTGCAAAGCCAACATGATAAACACATTTGTCACTGCCTTCGGGCAGCTGACAAACAATCTACTGCTGAGCACATATACACATATTTATACATGTGTGATATATGTACATAAAAGTACATATATACAAGCATAACATGTGTTTCCAAATGTGTTTCTCACCTTATTCAATCTGCAGACACAACAAAGTCCTTTGTTTGCATTGAATCCTATTTTGGGCGCCAAGTCGTGGAAATTGTATATAGTATAAATGTGTATATGCTAAGGAAGCTGTAGTATATGCGTATTTGTTTTGGTGATATTTCTTAATAAACCGAGCACGGGGCAACACAAACAAAACACCGGCAAAGAAGACAGGAAACACACTTGAATTGGTTTGCGTTCTTATGGTAAATAAATAAAGTTTTCGACAACTGTTTTAAATTGTATTTGATTATTTAATGCAGAAACGCGAACCAAATGCGACTATTTAGCACGAAGGATAAACTCGTTCTGTTCGCGTCGAGTCGCCTAACAACGGGCAGCTGACCAAAATCGAAGAGAGCTTTTGATTTTTTGCGCTCGCAAAAGCTGCGCCAGCGAAACTTTCCTATTATCCTGTGTCACAATTTCTGCTCTGAAATTCCATGGGAAACTGCACAGCAGAGAGCTAGAGAGAGAGAGAAAGTGGAAGAGAGCGAGCGAGTGTGAGAGCAAGATGCAGAAAACACTGAGAGCAATAGCCGGTAGTGTGGGCCAGCAACCACCATAGACCACCCTCCGAAATAAACATCATCTGCTAAGCAGCATATCAACAATAATTTTGTTTTGTTCCGGCCGGGGTCTACTGTGTGTGTGTGCGTGTGTGTGTTGGTGTTTAGATATAACGCTCTATGCTAGATAAACAAAATATTAAGGGTGTGCAAAGAAATCATAGGGCGTTGAATGCTGTACACTTCTTTAAGAGCTCTTATCCTAGCAGCAGCAGCTTGACTTACTTTCGAATGTAACCAAAAGTTAGAGTTGAGCATTTGCCAGCTGCCAAATAACAAGTCTTTCGGGGTTTTAATATTAGTCTTAAAAGATTACACAAAGACTTGCTTTAATTTTAACATATTGTAAGAATGTTGTAAAGAACATAATTAAACGTTAGTTTATAGGTAATTTAACTTCAACAATACTAAATACCAAGCTACAAAACGGAGATTCCTTCACTTTGAACGATAATCAATTATTTCATTGCCTTCCATTTCTTGATCCTTTGGCGTATCCTCAGGTTCCAGTAAGTCGCCATCAAAACTAAAAAGCAAAGAACATAATATATAAAATGCAAACATAAATAAAATTATAATTTATCTTACAACAACTTGAAGTCCTGAACATCACATTCTAAATGTTCAGCACATTTGATGTAAAGTATCTTAAATGTTTCTGTTTTTTTCATAGGTATTATCAATGGCTCCTTCCATTTATCATTTTGTATTTTCAATTGGAATTTCTTTGGCTTTGACATAAGATTAACTTCTTCCCTTTGTTGACTTTTATGCGATTTCATTGCGCGACCACCTGGGAAAAATAAAGTTATTTCATAGAAAAAAACATCCTTATATGAATTACATTACTTACTCAATATGTGGAAGCCTCTTAGACCGATGCTTTGTGGCGAGTCCATTGCGTTTAGGAAAACATCATCCATATTTATAACAACTTCCTCCACAGGTACCTCATTGCGTTTCGAAACTTCCTTGAACATATGCACGAACTTTTGGTGTTGTCTCAGCTTATATACTTGCATATCACCGAGCCTAAAAGGAAAATACTGTTTAATATTTGATAAGGTAAAATTGGACATATGACTGCATACCAATTCAAATTAATATCAATAACGGGATTATCATCATCGAAGTTTGGCGCCGCTTCGGAGTGCTCTGCGGACTCTTCATGCTCTGCGGGACTCATTTCCTTCTCCTCATCTGAGTCTAGATTTATCTATTTTTTAAACGATATATATCTTTAGAAAAACATACAATGTAGATCATTGCTTACTCACAAATCCTTCCACGCGTGGAGCAACAGCTGAAACCAGATCAATAGAGTCCACGACTCGGGAATAGGCCGCAACTTCAGCTGCCTGCCTCCGATTCCTTCTAGGTGGCTCAAATATGCTACTCGGAGCCGTTGAGCTACTCGTGTCTGCATTCTGCGCTGGGGCTTTTTTTCCACGCCCACGCCCACGTCCCCGACGTTTGTTGGGCGGATCCACAGCTTCAACAACTGGAAGTACTGCAGTTTCCAATTCGTCTTTGTTCTTCTCTGGTGTGGTCTGTCGTTTGCCCAGGGACGAACGCGTGCGCCTTGCCACCGGCAAAGCTTCCAGTTCTTTGTTTTTCTCCCTTTCCTTTTTTTGCTCCATCTCATGAATTAACTGTGAAACAGGTGACAGATCAAGGCGAGTAATGGGCGCCTGCGCCTCTTCCAGAGTTATGCCCGTTATCTCTTCCGTTTTATTCCTAGGTGGCTCCTCCTCTTTTGCTTGTTTTTTTCGTTTCCCCGATTTTGGTTTAGGGTTCGGCTTTATTTTATCTGTTGGCTTGGCAGGTTTTGTAACTGGCTTCTTTATAAAATCATAATCAATTTGTTTGATTGTTTCGCATTCCTCCGCGAATTGCTTTTGTGGCACTGCTGTGAATTCCAATTGTTTCATTCGGTTTACAAATTATACGATTTAGACAATTATTTGCACTTACCGTTTAGCCGTTTAACTGGCATATTGAATATATCACAGTCATCGTCCGACATTGTGGGTTTACCCTTTTTTACTAAATTTGTAAAATTCTGTTTACTTTAGTTTAATAGAAATTCTTTGACATTAGTTAATGCCGCCAAAAGGGAATACACGGACGCCGAATGAAAGCAAAAGACTACGATTTAATAAATATCGACTATCGATACTTTTACAGCTGGCGAATTATCGGAGCGCCAGAGCGAGAAAGTGAATGTTTACTAAACTCAAAAATGTAATGCCGCCAAAGAGAAAAGTATGGGATTTCCATTTAACGACTATCGATAACTTTCCAGCTGACGGCAAATCAGTGTGTACACTTCATTAAAGTAGAAAACAATGCTAAAGTGCGGTATTTATTACATTTGAATATGCATACATATGTATACAAAAATAGCTCAATGAGATTTGAAATTTTTATTTTAATTCTTATAAAATGCTTACAAATATATGTATGTTAATTTTTTAAAAGTTCAACTTGATCTTCTTTATATGGTATTGCTGGATCCAAGCCAAAATTCATTTTCATAATATCACAGAACACAGATAGAAATATGAACGCATCCACAAAGTGACTGACTGTATTAAGTATTGAGCGATTCTTAGATTTGGCAATGCTCACAAGAGATTGAATAACTAGTAAAACGCCCGCTGTCACCTACATATAGAAAAAGAAGAGTATGATATTTATATACCGTTTATTATTTATCAGAAACCTTATAAAATATCGTTCATCATGTTTTACAATTTACATTAAATTCTATAATCTCATTTCTATATCTATGGTACTTTAGCATGCTGATCGATGAGTTTTAGTGGCTGGGAGGAGTACTCGATACCGAACCCAGATATTATGACATTTACCACTGATATTACGAAGACGACCACCAATATGATATCGTTCAATATAATTGCTGCCGTCTGGTCTTGCTGCTTGTTTATATTCAGACTGCCGATAGCCACAAACAAAATTCCAACCAATAGCTGTTAAAATTAAAATTGAAATTGGTTTCTTTTTAGAGAGTGACGAATTTGGTCCAGGGTATTTCGATCAAAAAAGTCGGATGAGATGGGTTCATTTTATATAATTATTAATTTTAATTGACATCATTCAAAATATCGCCCTGTATCGGGGGCAGTCGAGAATCAAAAGCCGATATGAAAAGATTGACCATTGTGGTAAAAAACGCAAAGCCAGTGCGCACATGATTGATCACATTGGCCGATTGATGGAACTCTGGCTGATGCATTCGGCAGTCCCGCAATAAACTGAGGGACAGGCTTAGTACGCCAGACAGTATCTATGACATTGGAGAACGAGCCGTTACAACCCGACAGCCAAGGCAAAGGCAGACAGTGAATAAAATATTTACCTGCATAACTATGGACAAGCTAATCAGTATTAGCATTAGCTTATAGAACTGATGCTGCTCCCCGACCTGGAGTATGTATTTCAGCTGAGATGCGTTGGCTGTCAGCAGCGCTATATCCAGCATGCCCTGGGCAATAGTTTTCTTGGTCGCATAGCGATTGGCGTCCATTGCCTTCATCTGAAAAGAGTTCAATTGGAATCAATTCTAATTGGATTTTTGCAATATTCTCTGTACACACAGCTGAAGCCATTTTAAAATTTGTGTCTGTTTCAGTGGAGAGTCGAACTAAGTCTGATATGATTCTGTTCTATTTAGAGCATTTCAATGATTCTTATCTCTTTCCAATTGATCTGCTACAAGTTGCACCTTGCTGATAAAGTAAATTATCTAGTGACACCAATTAGTTAGAGTGCAAATATAGAGCTGAAGTAACAGCATCTAAACAATAATTGCATCCACATTGAAAGTCTGAAATAATATCGTACCTGCCAGGCATTTTTTACAGCACTCTGCAAGAGATAAGTGAGATATCAACTAAACTACTGTATACTTGTTAGCTCACAAAAAAAAAAAAGATTAAGCAAAATAATTAAATTAATGTTAAGTACATATTTAAATATTTTCTAGCTAACAAAATCTATATTTTTGAACCATTATAATTAAGACACGGAAGTCAGCGGGGTCTTTTTCAAGCCATTAAACAAGCATATTTATATATTCAAACCATATTTATATATACAGTGAGCATAGACAAAGACAACAAGAGCAAAATTTGTGAATTCTGAGAGTGCATAGAAGAATTGAGAATTTCGGTGGAAGTTGAGTAGGACCTAATATTCAAATTTTATGTGTTCAAGCTTATTCCTGATGCCCCATGTGATCTCGGCATGCATAAAAGTTAGAGACTTGAAATTGAAATACAAGTTGTCTACAAGCTAAACATTGCTCTTATATCTCATTCCTTGTCTTTAATATCTGCAAAAATGGATCTTTTCAGTTAACTTGACGAACAAAACGTATTAAATTACCAGAGTTATCATATTTAGTATGAATGTTCTTTTCAAGTAAAGCAAATGTATATGTAATATTTGCTGATTAGAATTTCCTTGCTCAATATAAATATAATTTGGATTGTTTATTTAGAAACAAGCAGCTCTGTTGTAGCTGCAGAGTATCTACTAGTTGACTATTCCCAATTCCAATGGTTTTGTTTATCTTTTTCACATCTTTTGCCTCCACAATTAGGTCAGAGTATATAATTTTTATACCCTGAACCCATTGAAAATGGGAAATCAGGGTATAATGGTTTTGTTAAAAGTATGTAACAGGCAGAAGGAGGCGTGGCAGACCCCACAAAGTATGTATATTCTTGATCAGGGCGACGAGCTGAGTCGATTTGGCCCTGTCCGTCTGTCTGTCCGTCCGTCCGTCCGTCCGTCCGTCCGTCCGTCCGTCCGTATGTATGAACGCGTCGATTTCAGAAGATATAAGAGCNATATTCACCATATGATTACGCTCTAAAAGTTTCATTAAGATCGTATGTCTACAAAAGAAATTATTTAACAAATAAATTCTCATAATATTGCCCACACTGCAGCGCAGCCCAAGCGCAGTCGCTGCTTACTGCGCAGTTAGCAGAGCGCAGGCTTATGCGTGCGTGTGGATGCATGTGTATGTATGTGTGCATAAAAGAAGTGCAGAATGATTAGAATATCAGCTTGGAGGGTTCAGGGTATCTCCTAGTCGAGCAGTCTCGACTGGAGCTTTCTTACTTGTTTTTATAAACATTTATTATTTTATAAACATATAGCCTTAATCAGATCCAATCAATGGAAACATATTTTGTTGCACAGTTCGAAACGTTTCTCATATATATGTATATGTATATGTATATATCTATGAAACATTATTGTCAGGGAATCTATCAGGATGTACAGTTTTATATAGACATGTGTATATATACAAAAGTAAGCATACATAATGAGAGTGGGAGCCCATAAAGTTATTCATATTGTGAATTTGTAATTGTATTTTTTTTTTTAAAATTATAAAATCAATAAAGAGACACGTCAACAGGAATGAATAAATATTTAAGTGGCATAGCACATCTGAATTGTAGATACAGACATATGTAGTATACCTACAAATATGTACAGTAATATACACACACCTATGTATGTGCAAGGCTAACCAGGTATCATTAAGGTGCACTAGCGGTAATTGCAGTAGAAACAATAATAGAGGGAAGTGCACTGTGTGAATTCACAGGATTTATTTTGAAGTAATTTGTTTTCTATGGATCTAATCTGTGTAACTGACTTGTCTTTGTAGATATTTTTGTTAGACTTGCCTCCGTCTCGTTGGCTCGTCCCTCCACCTGAGCCATTGTGAAGTTTTCAATGCGGTTCCACGTGGTTGCGTTTGCGAACTTAACAAATGACACAAAGCGAAGAGCTTCAAATTTGATCGAAGCTTTGTTTATTTTATTTAGCTCTTGCCCAATCCGCGACAATAAATTTAACAAAAAGTTGCAGCAGAAACAACTTTTATGACCGTTGCCATGGAGATGGTTGCCTGGAACACAACCAAACGAATAAACAACTGAAAGCCAACTGAATTCATTTTGGCCAAACAGCGTCATCCAAGCGCGCAGCTGGCTCGAGACGCGAGAGAGAGACTGATACAGAGAGCGAGAGAGAGCGGCTCAAATGGCTCAAATGGGTAAGCGTATGACTAATACGTAACTATATACCTTAATATACATTAACACAACATTTGACTTGGCCTGCGTTTAATATAAAATTTAAACATAAATATTTATATATTTTTTAGTTTTTATTTGTTTATCTTTTTTCTTATATGCTGCGTAAGCAAATTTCAATAAATAGCATATTTAAATACTTTGCGCCTATTAATGCATAACATACACATGCAAAATTAAATCAAATTTTCTTTTTAAGGGATAGTTGATGTTAGCTGACACATGATTTTTGATACAGAGTTTAATAAGCCTTTTACACGTAGCGTTTAAATGGTTTTAAACAAACTAGAAAGTCTTTCTGTGCACGGCACGTTGGCCCTCCTCTTCGAACTCTCGCTTCGATACCCACATCTTCTTGAAGGTATCCAGCGATGCCAGAATTGAGCCGCCCATCCACGTCGAGTATAAACGTTCCTGGGGTGCAGCAATCTAGATCAAAGCAAATACAGATATCAATATACAAATCTAAATTATTCAGATATATATTGATATTTACTCTGATTTTCAGATCCTTTGCTGAGTGTTTTCTCAGCTCGGAGAGGAGACGATCGCCGAAACCTTTGAAAAGCGTTGAACCACCCGACAGCACAATGTTCTGATAGAGCATTTTTCTGAGATCCATATCCGACTTTTCAATGGAATACATTAGCACATCGTGTATGCCTTCGCACTCCTCGCCCAGCAGATCGGGCCGGAAGAGCACCTCGGGCGCACGGAAACGAGCCTGTCCAATTTCGAATGTCTTGCCATCTGGTAATTTATAGGCGAACTTTTCAGTCTCCACAGCCTCCTCTTTTTGTGGATTGGTCGCCAAGTAGCAGACCTTCTCCTTGATCGACCGCACGATCTCAAACTCGGCTGTCGAACGGAAATTGAAGCCCTCTCGGCGTATGAGTGTTTTCAGGTAGCGTGTCACATCCCGCCCAGCGATATCCACACGCATAATACTGTGAGGCATGGCGAATCCTTCGTAAATGGGAACTGCATGCGTCACACCGTCACCCGAGTCCAACACCACGCCCGTTACACGGCCAGTGGCATAGCTAATAATATTGAAATTGTATAAATACAACTTTTAAGTTTAGTTTAACTAGGCTCTTACAGACTGAGAACTGCCTGCATGGAGACAAAGAGCGCTGGCGCATTGATGCCTTCGAAAAAGAACTCAGCGGCCTTTTCCCGATTGCGACGCGGATTCAATGGTGCTTCAGTGAGTAGAACTGGATGGTCTTCCGTAAACGTTGCCAATTGTTCCTGTAGTAAATATATGTTACACCAAGATCTGCCGGTCATGAAACTTGTACGTTACTTACTTTACTATATATATAGCTCCATATGCGCTCCATATCGTTCCAATCCGTCACGATGCCATGCTCCATCGGATATCGTATGCTAAGCAAGCCGCGATGCTCCTCCGCCTTGGGACCAACAAAAATGTCGCCCTCCAAGGCGCCGGCCATTACCCGAACATGCTTTGGTCTGCCAATGCTAAGATGAAAGCATGATTAACTACATTCAGCCCTGCACAGCGCTGCACCAGATACTCACTAGTTGGGAAACCTGCACTTTGGAATGTGCTCGCCAGCAAAGCCGGCTTTGATCACACCGGAGCCCTGTAAAGGAAATCATTTTGGGTTTTATACAGGCTGGCATTCATTCAAATTTTGCTTCACACAGGTCAAGTTTGTTCGTTTCTGAATTGTTTTGTTAAGCATTTTCATAAAAAGGACAAATTATGGATACCCGAACCATTCCTTTCGTGGATATGCTAGCCGTGTCGAAGAGTTTGCGTGTTCAGCGGAAGCCAATCTTGAAATTTGTACCACCGATTGGTATGTCGTTTGTCAACTACGGAAGTCTGGGCGAGATTGATACCTTCTACTTGGATTGCCAGAACTATAGGGATTATTATCGTGATCCTTTTGAGAAGATGCGTCGTCCTGCGAAGTTTTGCCAAAACCAGGGCAGGTGTGGCACTCGACCGGATCGCACTGTTGAGGCACTCAGTGTGCCCGGATCTTGGGTGAAGGAACGCCCTCCGGTTGTGTATTCGGAGAAATATAATCAACGTATGAACCTGAGTGGAAAGATTCATATCGATGCCCACTTCTCACCCAACTCGGTTACAGTGTTCAAGCGCTGACTGCGATATTATTATTATCTTGTACACTCCTTTTGGCAACTTTCAGTAAATCGGGCAAAAAAGTCTAGCTTTTGGCAAATTAGTCATTGCCCATACATAAACAGTTGCGACTACTGCTGAAAAAGTCTATGGACAAAGGGACGGGCAGTGGCAGCTTGGCTTATTCGTTCGTGTTAGTTGGTGATGTCACTTGTCAGGCAAACAGCCTAATGTAGCTTATGTGGCAATTGATTCTAGTTGGGCTCTGATTGATATTTTATTGCAAATTTGACTTACGTTATCTATGACCACAGGCTGATTGACTACGACATCATAGGGCTCCATTTTGTGCGTTTATAAAACAAAGTATTGCAAATTTTTCCTATAAAATCGCGGTGTCGTGTGCGGTGTGACCGCGTTTCGCATGCGTTATAATACCAAATAGAAAACTGGTTAATTTGAAAGATACCAGAGTGTTGGGTGTGCCTGTGCAAAAATTAAATCGTCTCTTGTTGCACATATGCTTAAATATTTTAATTCTAGTATTTGCTATATAACACATAAATGTTAATATATTATATATATATTACATTATCACATACAATAAGCCTGCCTGCTTGCATTTAGCTCGTTCAATATCTTCGAGCTGCGTACTTGGCATGACTATCGATACTATTGATCGTGCAATCGATTATTTTTAGTTTGTTTTTCTGTTTTCTTCCAAGACAAGAGTTTTACTATTATGGCTGCCTCAACCAATCCTGAAAAGAATTCAGAGCTTAAGCCGCCTCCTGGGCTAAAGTCCTTGATTGATCACTTAAAATCAGTCTATCCAGATCAACCGAATCCTCTGCAAGTGACGACACTGCTTAAGTATTGGCTGGGTGGCTCCGATCCCCTGGACTACATAAGCATGTACAGCAACAAAGGGCAGGGCGAAGGCGATGCAGAGCGAATACCACCGCATTGGCATTATGTTAGCTTCGGACTCAGCGATCTGCATGGCGATCAGCGCGTTCACCTGAAAGAAGAGCACACCACTCGTTCAGGCATGGGCTTCGAGCTAACATTTCGGCTGGCTAAGACAGAGGCTGAGCTGCACAAGGAACGGGAATGTCCGGATAAGCCACTCAGACCGCCCACCTGGCCTGCAAATCTGCTGCAATCAATTGCGCGTTATTGCTTTCAAACTGGCAATGGTCTTTGCTTTGGCGACAATATTCCTTGGCGCAAGGGATTGGATGGCAGCGCCGATTCACGAATGCAAAGCTTACTGGTAGCACAGGATCCGCAATTAGGTTCGATTGACACGCCTTTTGGCACAGTTGACTTTTGCCAAATAGTTGGCGTTACTGAGGAGGAACTGGAGCAGGCCTCACGCTGGAACGGTCGTGGCGTCTTGAATTTCTTAGCTAAGGATGTGCAAACAGGCGGCGAGTGGCTGGTTACCAACATGCAGCGCACCATGAGCGTGTTCGAATTGTTCCCAGAAACTTTGCTTAACCTTCAGGACGACCTGGAGAAACAAGGCTCTGATTTGGCCGGCGTTAATGCTGAGTTTACATTCCGTGAACTGAAGCCAACCAAAACAATTAAGGAGGAAGTAGACTTTCAATCTCTGAACGAGAAATGCGCCAGCGAAGAGAACAATCGACCCTTGACAGAGTCACAATTGAAGCGCGAGGAGCCGAGTTTCCCCCAGTCCATGTCGATGAGCAGCAACTCGTTGCACAAATCATGTCCACTGGACAATCAGCCACAGGCGCCCGACTGCATATCGCTAGATGGCATTGAAATAACACTAGCGCCCTATGCGGCCAAGTACTTGCTGCTGGCCATAAAGGTAAAAACGCAATGGAGTTAGATTCGATATATAAAATGATGAAATGCATATTTTTCTTTTCAGGATCGCATACGACACGGTCGGCATTTCACGTTCAAGGCGCAACATCTGGCTTTGACTCTGGTCGCCGAAACAGTTACAGGCGCTGCTGTTAGTGTGAGCGAACCCTATGGCGTGCTTGGCTATTGGATACAGGTGCTGATACCAAATGATCTAGTGCCGCGCATGATGGAGGCATTTCGCAATTCACAGCTCGATGGCAAGACGGAGCCAACGCAGCGTCTGGAATTCGATTGGCCCGATAAACACTTTAAGCTAATTGTAGATCAGCCGCCCTGCTCTCTGGTCCCCACGGCCATGTCCATTGAGGCGGCGCCTGTGAATTGAAGAGCGACTCTCAAGCCTTATTCTTAGTATTATAAATTTAACTAAACTGAATCTTCCACTAACACGTAAGTCTTAAATTTTACTATTATATCGAATATATTATATAGTATATAGTACACACATTTATGCGAAATAAAACTCAAAAAGTATTTCATCAAAGAAAGGCGCCACAATCAAACTCATCTTGATGAGTAGCCATGTCTGGCAAAGCATCTGCTTCTGCTGCTGCTGCTGCTTTGATGTGTGGCTATCATAACGGACATGACCAATTTGTGGTACAAAACGAAAGTGTCTCAGGGTTGTGCTTGGACAATGGACTTCAGTTTTCAATTCTGCGAATTGAAATCAATTTAAAATATTTCGGAATGAAAAACAGTCGCGATAAAAATTCATTGATACATTGGCTGCACAACAGTTGATCAAATGATTTAGGCGAATTCAAACGGATGCACCTCAGTGATAGACACTGCTCTATATGTGCATATCATTTGATGGCTTCTGTTTTCTCTCTTTTGATTATTTATTTACTTTTTTTTTGTGACCATCTTCTTCGCGTGGCGGTTGTCAACGCAACCGCAAAGGCAGACGCAGCCCTCTTCAACGCCTCGTTTTGTTTACTACTGAGAACACTCACAATCACACGTTGTACGTCTCCGATTAGGCGCCTCGTGAGTGACAAATTTTTGCAACACAAAAAAAAAATAAAGCTGGGTGAGATTTTTTGGGGAACTGACAAACGTGACGATCCATATATGTATATGTCACATATAAAATATATACATATATATATAGAGAGAAGAAAAAAGCTGCTCGTGGAAAATAATTGAATTATTTTTCATTCCGTTGCCGGCAACGCAAGCGCTCGGTCGTGTTCCTCTGCTCTACTCTCGGCTATCAAATCGACTGCGTCTAGCAAAAGCCACAGCCAGAGACGGCGGTACGCGCCATCCACTCGCCCAGGGGGATCTACGAGACTTCGTGCAACTCGACCATCGGCTGCATTTAAATCCATTGTAAGACCAATTGCACTAAGAACACGTTTAACTGTTACCATTATATTAGGCTGATTCATTGCGTAATCATGAGCACACTTCGATTTTTTATTCAAATTGAGACCGCCCCCCGCTGGGCGACGCCTGCGTCCAACACGTGAACATTGATAATGCAAACACAAAAACAGAAACATCAAATAGATTTACTACTTTATAGTCTGGAATGTACATATATCGCTTTATAGTCGACTTTGACTTTGCTTTCGGCAAAACTTCTCTTTTGTTTTGCTCTCTTTTGTTTTCTTCTGTTTTGGTTTTGTTTTGCCCACATTTGCATGTAATTTGTCAGCGTACAAATTCTTGCTGACAAAAGTGAAATTTAATTTATATATATGCATGTATATACATTTCAATTGATATGCTCATATTAATATATCAAGTGTGTAAATTTCCATTAGTTCCATCCGTGACCAGAAGGCATTCTATATATAAATTTATATCAATAGCAAATTGATATTGAGTGAAAAGGTTTGCAGCCTTAGGCTTAAAGCAATGTAGAAATTCACATGCACGTGGATATGATTCATATTTGCTATAGCATATTTTGTTGTAATCTAATGCTTACACTGTTTAACAAATTTATTCTTTGAAGGGAGCAAATACAAAAAATTAAGTGCAACGTGTCAACAATTTCCAATTAGTCTAAAGTGAAAGTCTATAGTGATATTCCAATACTTGGTAAAACAGAAGAACACGATTTTTAATCAGCAATATATTCTGACTTGTTCTTAGCAAACTCAATCCGAATCTGAAAGTACAATATATCTTGTATCTTGAAGATTCTGTGAAGTGAAAATTAAGCATTTTATATTTTGCAAAGTGTACAAGATTTTTCAAAAATATTGGTGTTTATACTACTACAAAGTACGTACATATATAATTTATACATACACCTACACTTATTTTTAGTATTCAAAGCTTCTATAACCATACTCTCAAGTTCTTAGTGACAAGATTTAGAGTCAAAGGCAATAAGAAAACTCTTTGAAAGTATGTCCTATTATAGAGCCTAGTTCTATGTGCAAAGTGAAAAATTAAATTCAGATATCTTCTAGATCCTTTCTCTCTTAAAACATTATTTTAAGTCTAATGGCTGCACAACATATTGTGCATTCATAAAATAGGCAAGAAAATGCGACAACAGAGCAGAACAAAGAACTTGTAGATAAAATGCAGAAATATATATTTTTACTAGACTGATTATTATATTAAATTAATATATTTCCTCGAACTCACTTGCCTATACTGTAATTTCGAAATATACGAAATTAAAATTAAATAAATTGTAGAACGCAGTTAACATAAACAACGTTGTCAAAAAATATTGCTTAGCCACACTTTCAGTTTAAAGCCAAGAATGTGCCAACCACGCAATCTGTTCAATGACTGAAATACTTGAAGTTCAAGTGCATTCGAGTCCATTGCATCCACATAGAGGCAGTATCTCAATTGTACTTGTAGAAAGCGCGTCGTGCAAATAATGATAATTACAATTAAATCTTAAATCGTGTCGGTTTATGGTTCAGCAGCTGTTTGAGAATCCGTAGAACTTGCACTGATTGGCCATAAACCGCATAGTCGGATCATATCAGATAGTGCCGGAGACGACAGCGAAAACAAAAACGACAACGACGAGCGACAACGCGACGCGATCTGTAATCAGTTGAAATTTCAGAAACCACACGTTTTTTACATCTATGGCGACAATGGCTGAGAGTGAGCCGCTAGACGGATCCGTTAGCCAGCCAAACGGGCGCATTATCAGTGCCGAGGAGCGTGCCAATGGACACGCATTGAAGACCAGCAACGGTCAAGTTCATCGAGCCGCATCCAATGGCAAGATCCAATCGAATGGCATGCAAGAGCATATCGAGGCGCCCTGCTGTCGAGATATACACGGCAAGGAGCCGCCGGATGGCGGTGCACGTGCCTGGCTGGTAATGGTTAGCGCATTCCTATGCAACGGCGTCATCTTTGGGCTAATCAACACATATGGCGTACTTCACAAGCTGCTGACGGAGCGGCTGACCGCCCAGGGCGATGCGGAGGCCAACAGCAAAGCGGGTAAGTCCACGTGTCAAACAGCACAAACAACTAAGGGCGCTGCAGTTGGCAGTGCTCGACTAGAAGATACCCCGGCAGTCGGGCAGCTGAGAGTCCAAATATTTAAATAGGCAACCAATTCCTTTAAATGTGATCAAAAATATTTACATAGATTATTTATTATATATATTACACATTCTTCTGTTTGCTACGCATATTTAACCATAAACAATATACCCCGTTTACCCATTACCAATGTGCTTGGGGCATTAACACAAAAGGGTTGACTGCAATCAATTTGCGCTTGGGCCTAATCCCTACCGAGCTGTGCCAAAGGCAAATTGATTCGGAAATCGTGACAATCCACGATTGAAAGCAATTATGCAGAAAGTCCAGCACTGATTAGATGAGAAATTAACACTTGTCATAGGCGTGCGCCAAACTGGAATGGGGTACCAAAGGCTTGACTGGACTTACATAGATATATAGAGTTGTGTAAGCCAGCAACATTGATTTTCTATTATATTAACATTCATTTAATTACTCCCGCCAAATAGATAAATGGACAAATATATTTATACTATTTTAATAGCTAGAGAATCCCAGTTTAAATAGGCTTTTGGCCATATTTGCAGTTATCAAATTAGTAGCGAGCATTGGGCAGTCACTTTTTGCCGAGTGTAACATTTCTATTTATTTGCCAAATGACACCGAATTGACAGCATTCCGCATTGTCGACTAATTACTTGCGCTACATTTATACGAAAATGTTTACAGATTTATGACCCTGAATATTTACATATGTGATAACGAATCTCTGTGCTTAGCAAGATAGGCAGAGTATAATATTTAAATATATATATATTGATATATGTATGTTATAGAAATGGATTGCGCATTGCCAAATAAATATTCGTATTTATATTTGCATATTATTCACATATATATTATAACGTTATCAGACAAAAAATGAACATAATGTTGTTTCATATAAATAATAATCAAAGATCTTTTTTATTTTTATCAGAGTTTAAAATGATAACGAACAAGTTCTGAAATAATATGCTGAAGTAAAACTTGAACTAAAACAAAATGCTTATAATCTAAGCGTTTTCATCAAAAGGCCTAAAACATAATTTGAGAAGATAAGAATATGGATGATAAGGGTCATAAGCAGACATCTCCTACACATGATCATGAATTAGATATACTTGAGTGTTAAGCACTGTTTAAGTTGTGCATTTGATTTAAAAATATTATTTAAAATATGCTAGTTGTAATTCGACTTCTATGATCAGTTTTCAGCATTCAAAATTCTATAAAAATGTGGCGCAAATTCGATCGATGTTCGCCCCACAGCGACTATTGAATATTCTAATTAGAATGTAGACATGCTCGACATGTGTCCATTTGTATCGTATGTAGGTGCCAACATATTAATTACCAATTGATTACAAATTTATTTTTGCTGTGCTATTGACCAAATGCTTGATGGAGGAATGTGCGATTCAAGTGTTGTAAGAGCTGCGGTCATACGAGCCAAAGAAGTATTTCTATCCAAGCTTGAGTTCAACAAAACTTTGCGCATGTTAGTGCCGACAATGTTCGTGTGTGTGTGTGTGTGTGTGTGTGTGTGGATGTGTGTAGTTGTACGACGTCAAGTGAATTAAATTGCTGAAAGTTTATTGGATCACAAAACGTTATTCAACACCGCGACGGCAATGACGATGTCAAGTCGCTGGAGTCGATGAGAGTTCAAAATTGAGCAGAAGAGAGCAAAAGGTCGTTTGCTGCGAATAATTTTGCGTGCTACGCACATGCACACACACACACACATGCACAGACATAGTGAGTGTCTAGAACTAGTACATATTTCTATTGGTGACGTCTCTCAGAGAGCTCAATTGGTTTAAGATTTGTTTGTCAAGGTTCGACGTTGCGTATACGCCGCGTTTGGCGCCTGTATGGAGCAAATGCTTGAAAAGAAGACCAGTTGCATTGGCCAAAGACAAAAGCCGACACC